CGTCGCCGCTGCAGCTGCAGGCGCAGCGACCGGTGACGCCGCAGCTGCAGCCGCAAGCGGTAACGTCCTACCGTTGTCCTACCGTCGTCGTCCTACCGTCGCGGCCGCCGCCGTCGCCGTCCGTCCGGTGCAGAGCTGCCTGACCTGCGGCACAATCGTCTCTCGATTAGATGTGCGTCTAATTAGAGGCTTACAGCGGGATTTCGATTGGTCTGCATTATGCAAAACCGTATAATCGTACGTGAGCGAGACATTCGATGCTCCGAAAGCGAAATTCACGTTCTGCGCAATATTATCCGAATTAAATTGTATATTTTATTGCATTCTGCGAGAGCCGAGAGAAACAAGATTATATTACAATTAAATTAAATTAGATTAAATTAAATTAGATAAAATTAAATTAAAATAGATTAAATTAAAGTAATTAAATCAAGATTACACGAAATTCAGTTTATTTTGCAGCGGAATATTTTCGCTGCAGTCTCTTCGCTTGCGCTATAAAGCTACAAATTGTGGAGAATGTGAGTTTCGCGTTGAGATTTCTCAAATAGGCGAACGCGTGACATTATACCTTTGACATTTCCCACGTCTTCGCGCTGCATTATTTTTTGCTGAAGATCTGTCGTATCTATCGTTTCAGTGTAAAGAAGTCAATAATCGAGATGCTATTCAAGCCCACATAAACGCGGGACCATAACTGTCAATAGCGCTGCCACGTCCTATCGCGGATCGTCCTTATTCCGTTTCGATCCGATGGGGTTCTTGACTCCCGCGTGATACGGGAATCCGAGATGGCGATTAGATACGTCGGTGCGCGATTAGACAGCCGTGACGCACGGGGACAAATGGCTCCTTCCGAGTAATTGGCTCGTTACGGGTTAATGACCCTTCCGATGGCGTTTTCGTTTCACACCCGCGCGAGGCGAGAATTAGTGTAACGCGATTAACTTGGCGGACGAAACGGCCGTCGTCTAAACATTCATACGCCGGATACGGCGGGTTTGTTATTTCTAATGTATTCCGCAACACGTGTCGGGGGAACATTATTTACAATCCGCTACAGGAATAGATTTTTTTGACTAATAGCCGAAGTCGATGTTTCTCCAGAAAAAAATCTGATGTCATCCTTTTTCTCGAATTCTAATTTTAAGGCATCCTTACACGCCTTGGTAATTATTAAGTTTCAAAATAAAATTCTGCCGAGACTCCTGGTCTTCCATCGCAATCATATTGAATTACGACGTCGGA